CCTTTTTTGTTCGATGAGACCTTCAGTTCATCAACGGAACTGTAAATCAACAGTAACTGTAAACAAAGCAAATGCAAATAAAAGTAAAAAACAACAACACAATGAAATTTCCTACCATGGGAGGGTGGGACTGTAGGTGCAGCCAAACTAATTGGGGCCTGGGTTGGCGCTAAAAAAAAAAATGCATTGCAAAGTCCTTTACTATTCACATAAGATTTCTTTGAAACTCAAAGACGATGTTGACTCTGGATTAGCTTAATCTGCCGGCCTAAGAAAATCCATCATTAGGAGAATTAACTTCCTTTCAAAATAGCTAAAGATCTAACTAAAGTAGACCTGCAATTACCTTGACATAAGCCACACTTTCTTTTGCAGTTCCTTATCAACCATTCATTGTGACATGCGTACATTGGGTAGGTATTGCAATCTTCATGATCCTTTGCAGCACAAGGTCCTGGCAAGAAAGATTGTACATCGCTTTTGGGTAAGTACAAAGGAATGTGCCTTGGTGTATGGCATGATTATGTGATTATGCAATATCAAGTATTATTTATAGATGCAGCATCAAAGAGATCAGGAAATATTAGTGGTTAGTGTTAATTGCAAAGGATGGTTAAGGACGGCATAACAGCTAGATTGACATAAATGACATGTTTTATTTATAATTAATTTACAGGTCTTTTAAATTTAATTTAATTTGGTTTAATGGATTTATTTTAATTTTACTAAATATTTTATTTTAATTTGTGGTATTTATTTAACATTTAAACTTTACTTTCCCAAATATAAGTTTGCGTCACTACAATGCGAGGTGATTTTGAATTAAAATTTATTATTGTGATTTTTTTCTATAAGTCCCAGTTGGAGAATACCTCACCTTCAGTTTCATCTTTTCCAAGGGATGCTACTCCTAAAATCGAAAGACGTTATTTAAGAGGGCAAAATTTTGAGCTCCAGTAAAGAACAATTGAAAGAAATAAATTCAACGGGTGATATTGAATGAAAAACAAAAGTTGATATCATTTCTTTCATTAATAACTCAATTCAGTGAGTCCATACAGCTAAATTATCACCTGTATGTCTCGTCATTTTGTATTCCACAATCCTCACACTTTTACATAATTTTAGGTTTATTAGAATTTAAGCCATCCATTAGTTTTTTCTTAGAAACGCAGATGTTAGTAAGCAGGTTTCAAGTTAACCAACAGCACTTATAAATTACTTTTTATTGATACCATAGTAGTTTTATTTGTAAGTCAATTGATTAAACACAGCATTAATAAATTAGCCATTAATAAATTACATTTACATCAGTGTTAACTGGCAGGTCTAAACAGTGGGTAAGGGTAGGGGTTAACAGGCCAACCTGACCATTATTCAGGCTAACCAGAGTGCTCTTCAAAGTAACCAAAGAGCTATAAGAGCTCTCCCCCCGTTGCATGGTACCCCTTCCCCCTCATCCCTGGTTAAGACTTGCCAGTGCATGTTAACATTAGTGCCACATTTCTTTAAATTTTATTTGACTTAACAAACATTAGCTGGCTGCTGAGCCTATGCACCTAAAAGTTAATTAGAATCTCTCATTAGTCTAATTTGTCTCCATGTCTTTGTCCCCATGTCTTTTTCCTCCCACTACCACCACCACTAGCACCACCATTGCAACCATTACTATTTTATTCTAACAGGACAATCGGCAATCAACTATAATGTGCGTTTTGTGTCTAAATGACATGCAATGTTTTAGTGTACACATTCATTCCCCGTCTTTTGGATGGTTGCTTGTCCCCCAATGTTTCCTGACATTAATTAATTCACAAGAACAACCTGAGCTTTGAGCGCAATCCACATTATTCTACAGCACAAATCTTATTGAATCAAGCTGATTATTGTCTCTATTGATTCTTTCCCAATGATATAGGTACTGTAGGACTTCAATCGGTTGGACTCCATAGCTTTGTCCACACACGGTGTATGACATTTACAGGCTGCAGACTGCAGGACTTTTTAACTGATACCGTATTCCCATCCCCATTTACCTAGAGCTTACCGAAAACAGGCGATACATCTGAGCGCTATTCAGGCCAACCTGAGTGATATTCAGGCTAACCGGAGCGCCATTATTGACATCGTCTGCAGTATGCAGTAGTATGAAAATGTCATAAAGCCTTCCACAACACCAGTCATCAGATTCACCCTGTCCACTAACCTTCACAGAATCCGCACTTCTTCTTACAGTTTGTTTTCATCCATTCATTTTCACAGCTTTCTGTCGAGTATCGACTGCATTCAGGATTATCTTTACAAACAGCTGAAAAATACCAGAAACACAGTTGATCAAAATAAGCGCACGCTCTGATGCACCCCTAGCGATTTGACCTTTTTTCTCTCTTCGGGGTTGTTTACTTTCCTAAAGACACTAGGGCCCATCACTGAGCTAAATTCTTCATGTATTTCCCGACACTTCAGGCCATGATAAGCAACATAAAATTTTTGCGCGCTTTATCCGCCATGTTTGTTGTGGTAGAACTCAGTCTCCTCGCAAAGAAAGACAGGCATGCAAGCCGAACAGGCACGCAAGGCGTACACAATTTGTCTGGGTCAGTAATGGCTACTCACGTCTGCAGAATTGGCATTTTCGCGGACAATTCAGTTGAACCCAATCATCATTACACTGGTGTCTAGAGTATCGTGAACATTCACTCTTGTCATTACACCATGGAGCTAAAAATAATGAAACAAATAATACCAATTAAGATAAATTAATAATGGTGATAGGACTGAGTGGAATCCAATTCGGCCTGTAATCATGCGAGTGATTAACAAAATCGGCCGACCGCAAAGCGGGAGTCCGATTTGTTAATCACGAATATGATTACAGGCTGAATTGGACGACACGATGTCCTGTTACCAATTAATCAAAACTATGACAAAATTCGCGAAACGAACAAACCATCGAATGATGGCTAAACGATTAAACGTCGTTATGAATGCTGAAAAACGCAGCAGCAGTTTACTCAACAAAGTGCACCGCAGCAGCGCGCGCAAAATGACGCGTACTGTCTGGCCGTTACAAGCATGACGCGTACACTGTCCAATTAATGCTCAAATTGGGCTGCTGATAGCCAATCACGTTCGAGAATTTTGTTATAGTTTTGATTAATAAATAAATAAGTAAATTAGCTTATTATCTTTTCTATCGTTGTACTTATTTCGTCGGGGAAAGAAAACTATATTAATTATTTGAGGAGCTTTTCTTTTCATCAACAGTGCATTTCTTGTTTGTCAACAGAACTGATTCGATTCCATGCATTCAAAACAATTTCCTTGTCTTTTTATGTTTTTGAAATAAGCGATTTCCCGAATCGTGAACCACCATTACCAGGGCATTCCCGCCACTCTGAAAGCGGGGATATCAAATCAAACGAGACCACTAGCTACAAAGAACTTATCGCATATTGTTGATACAAAGCGCACTTTGTCTCAAAAAGAAATCAATACAGAGCATCCCTCTTTCTTATTACCTTCTGGTATTTCAAGGATGGTTGTTCCATGACTCATAGTCGCGTTAATATGACCTTTCGCTGGGCCGTTAATCTTGATCTGGGCTGCGTTTTCATCTTCAGCTTTTATGTTCGCAGGAAGCTTAACAACAATCGTCTCTACCATTGGCGCCTTGTTTGCTTCTTCGTCTGCCAGCACCGGCTTTCCATTTTCACCTTTAATGTTCACCAGTACAGGCTTTCGTGACGTCTCCAATGATTTAGTCACCTCTGATGGTACTGTGACAGAGAGCTCGGTGTATGGTTTTTCTGTCACCTTTTTGGTCGCTTCTTTGCTGACCTGTTGCGGTGTTGTAGTGGTAGAAGCAGTCCCTGTAAAATAAGAGTAATAAGTATAGTCGCTAGCAAAGGGAAAGACGATTTTTACTTTGTACAATAAATCCAAAAGTGCATTACATCGTTTGAAGGTGTTTAAAATCTCTTTGTGATAAACTAGGAAAATGTTGACTGAGTAGATGAATACCCCGCCTTTCAGGTTAAACTGGAAGGCAATGTTTGTGTTATCCGACTTGCGTTCAAGTCAGCTATAAGGTCAGTTATTTTCACTCATATCATCTAATCCTCTTTGTCCCATGAGGGAATAGCGCGTCCACTTTTGCCTTCCACTTATGTTGATCTAGCCTTACGCCAAGTCACGGTGATCTCACTCAGGTCCATTTTCTAGTTTTGCGAGACGATTTGGTGCTAAAAAATAAAGTTAAAACAGAGTCGCTACTGACCGTTGCCGCATATTTTGCACTTCTTTGGGCAGTTAACTTTCAGCCAGTCTTCATGGCAGTTGACCTCTGTGTAATTTTTACAGACAGGATTGTCGCTACACCATGTTTCTGGGGAGAGTAAAAAGGTGTGAAAATCAGTCAGTTATTAAAAATAAATCCTTATTTTAATATCCACTTCAAGCCAAAATATTTGGGATGTTTGTTATTGTCTTGTTATGCTATAAATCTCTGCGTATATATAGCTAAAAATAAGCGAGACAGCTTTTCCTGAAATTGCAAAAGTCACTGATGAAACTGAGGAAGTAAAGAAAACTCCCAGGAAACTTCGCTTTTGATCTATACTTCAAATCAGGACACAATAACAAAATAGTTAATCAGGAACTTACCATAAACGTTAGGCATAGCTGTAGCGTTCTGCTCCACGACAGCTGCGGATCGAAATATAATTTTCAAAGATGAAAAAGCACAAATTTTCTAATATAATTCATTCTAAAATTCATCTAACTACTAGCTGAAAACCATTGTTAAATTCTGCATTTATTCCAAATTTCAGATAGAATAGCCGAAACCACTGAATGGAGATTCTCGCGCGCTCTTATCCCGCGTGGCCTTGACGTATTCCTC